CAGTGGATAGTGAGCGGCGCTATATCACATCTAGTAACTTATTCACGATGGTCGTTGCCGTCCCCCGTAGCTCAGTGGTCTCAACCACGGACTGGCAACAGTCGAGTTGCGGTTTCGAGCCCTACCAAGGGTCCGATGGAATGCGCACTGCTGATGATTCCCGAAAGGATGAAACGCGCGTACAGTGCTTTTCCGGGATTGTGGCGGCTGTCTGAGTGAGCCTAGATGTGACGAAATGCTATCTATACCATTAAACTCCCCCTACTACTCTTCTGTAAAGTGAAAAGTGTTTGCTTGGAGGGACGGTAGCAATATGCAGAGAGCAGTGATGTTCGCATGACAAATTTATAAGTCTGTAAATACATTAGTATACAGTTCGTAAGCACCCTGTTTGTATGCATTCTGTAACCCCTGACTAACCCGATATAAAAGAAAATGTTAATGCATTCCATTCCATTCTTTATACCAAGAAGGAAGTTGACGTGCCTTTAAGGTGTGTTTTTATCGGAACTGTTTTAGCTAAACACAGTGGATAAGTTAATTTGTCCTCACGAATAAATGCGGTCCAATGGTTACGATGTGTTAAAAAAATGCTCTAAGTCTCGAGGTTTCATTTATGCACGCCATGCTGAATAACTTATCGCCATGGATTTCTGACTCCTATTTCGTAGAATTAACTGCATTTGTGCCGAAACCAGTGACCTTGTCTCTGGCGCTCTGTTGATCATGTCAATCCGTCATTCAACGAACTCCGTCCAAAAGTTAGCAATGAGAAGTTTGTTGAAAAACTCCATAGCGCATGCCTCGAGGAGTACTTTCATGACGTGGTAGCATGTGGTTCTTCGTATTAGTTCTCTGTGCTCAGCTGCAAACACAGTATAAGCAACATAACTAAACGATATTCCACATGGTCTTTGAAACTCAATTGACCCTCTATCAATAACTTTTCGACCATGAACTCTTCATTTGTGAGCACAATGTCCAATAGAGACAGCTACTTTGTTGTGTTGAATCTAGTGTGGATCTGACAGGGTGGTAAAAGGGAATATTAGCGATAATTTTATGTCAATCTGCTTTAAATTTTTCATTTGGCAATGCTTATTCCTCCGGAGCACGCACATTAAGGTCACTGGCGATGAAAGTGTGGCTGTACTTAGAGCACGTTACCCTGTTCAGTGCATGTATGAAGGGAGAATACATTTCCTTTGAGCTTGGAAGTGGGGCGTTGAACAAAAGCTCCGAGACATGCGTCGTGTCTTAGCCGGAGACTGCACCAGATTGAGTCCGCAACATAGACTTCCGGATCCTTAACTTTTGCACATTGCAGGTGATTGTGATATTTGGGAAGAACTACACATCACTTTTTGCGGCGGTCGTTCGGGCTGTGTGATAATCTTGCTACCCTTAAATCAGCATTAACAACTTCCTGGTGTAAATAGGTTTCGGTACTGCAACTTATGTCCAAAGCTTTCGCGACATGATGTACCCGAAGTTAGGTAAGGTTACTGAGGAGGTCTTGAACATTAGCTTAAATAAATAAAAGGTTCTATGGGTTCATATGACGTAATTCATACGTGGTTTTGCCGACCATTGAGGGACCTAAGACAACTTGTTTTATGGTTGGGTATTTATCGACGGGCTGCACGCTTTATTCATCGGCTTCATAGTTCGTTCCATATCTATTCAACTACGCGCAGTGTGCATTGCCTGGTTGTATGAACTCATCGGACACACTATCGGTGAGCTCTTCTGTTATAGTTCCCAACACGTTTGTCTCACATGGGCGACATATCCTTTTTTGGATGGCATATTGCTCGCTGCCTTCAGATGAAGATTATATAGCATCATGCAATGCAACATGCACAATTTTCTGTGGCTGTGGTAGCTTTTGTTTTGATTGATAGACCATCTTCAACACCTTCGTGCCAGATAAGTTGTAGCGGGGTGAGGTGCGCAAAAAAGACACCGCTTTCGCTAGCACTCATCCAAGGAGAGCGAATTAGGAATATAGCACCATAGTTTCTAATCTTAAGCCGCTGATTCATGCTCATCGCCTGCTTCAGTTCTAGGAACACGGTAGACGACAATGATTTAAGTTAAAGTTTCTATCCGTTGGTCTTCTAAGCTGCGAGTAATTCGACTACGCTCGCTCCATGGCACTCTGCAAGGACATGGATTAAGCAGTGTATACTTCTGAGTCGACCTGCCGACAGCAGAACTGATTCTACTTCAGTGATAGAGTTCAGAAGAATGAGCAGAAGTTTTGGCTTTCGTAATGCTTGAGAACTAGGTGCCACGTGATTCGCACAAGGTGTGCGGATTTCAACCCAGTTACGTGTTGGTTATTAATGCCGCTCCACTGGTTGAGGTCTTCTAACTGCCTGTCTCAAATGGACGTTGATTTTACTTCTAGAATATTGCAGCACATTGAGCTCAGTACAGGTTGCTGTTACATTTCATCGTTCAACATGTATCGGGGAGTGAAATAACTACTCGGAGATTTACCCCAGGAAACCGTTAGTGCTTCCACCAGCAGGACTCCGCTTCGGTTTCAGTTTAAGATCCCGTAAGGGTGCTGCCAAATTTAAACATCAGTCCTTCTTGAAAATAACTGTAACTCAAATTTCACTAGTAACAACTTAGCTTAGTGCTATTCATTTAGTCAGGAGTTTGTACAATATCTTGCCTGCAGTTGATTCGATGGAAATGAAAACCGACCTATTAGCATTTGAGTCAGCTGTGGTAGTTGAACATTAATTGCGTTTCTGGGCTATTGTTTTCGTTTTGTACGATATTATGAATCTTTCTCCTTTGGATTGGGGCAGCACAGTCTAGAGAGAGTTGCACAGTCTGCTGTGCTTACCTCAGCTGTGATGCCATTGTTACCAGCATGTCTTTAAACTTTGCAAGTAGCTGCTTATACTTCAGAGATAATAGAAGCACGATTTTCATCATCTGAATAGAGGTGCATTTCACGCAGAACCAGAGAGAGCCTGACTCCTTTAATAGCTTGGCCTGTCTAGATTTCACTTAGCCGCATTGAACGTGAAAAATCATGCATCTTTTTCGACACGCAGTACGCTCTTTGACAAGTGTGCCACACGATCTACACATACCTTTTGAGTTAGGCACGCTATAATTTGCGCGCTTTGAGTGAATGAAACGAACCATTCGAGTGTCTCAGCCTTGATATTTGTCAGCTGTTCTCGTGTTTCTGACGTTGACGCCGACGTCACACCGTTCAATTCGCACTTGTGTGGTTCCAAACTATCCTTCTTGGCTTACTGGTCGAATGCGTCAGCTCGCTCGAGAGGCACGTTTTAAAATGGTTTGATACAACAGCTTCGTGCTTTGACATCTGAACTCCCTGTGGTGAAGTTGTCGAAAGACCATGAGGGGTTTGCTGCGGAGTGTAAGTTAAACTATACTTGATCCAAACAATGTTGGAATTGAATAAATGAGATTTCAATCCAACGCCTTGGAAATGCTCTATTGAATGAGCTTAAACAATGGGTCCCACGGTTGAAAGTACGAAACTGTGTTACCAGTGAGACGTTGCTTGGAAATTAGCATTCAGGGTAAATGTAGCATGCACTGCTGTGTATTCGAGAAAATGGTGTCATGTGGGGAACCATGTTAAAGCAAGACCAGTGCGTACAGATCCAGTGGTGTGTGACAAACTGCCGCTGAAAAGCAGAGAAACAACCAAGGGTTCACAAATGCGCGATTATTACGCATGTTCCCTCAAGAGCACTCCTTGTCAACGAACGATAAACGCTAACATTGACATCTAGCTGGATTGTGGGAGATATAGACCTAATAGTATAATTCTTAGGAACTGCTACATCAGATAGAGCGAGGGTAAGTAGTTCCCGAGCGAAAATCATCTCTATCCTTAAAATATCCAGACTGGGTTTGACGGAGAATATGTCAACGTTATTTGTCTTTCTTTATTGTACAAATTAGTTGGTTACTGGGATACATGAACGAAACATGTAGAGGCAATTGAAACAACGGATTTCTCTTCAGACATTTTCTGGAATGAATTAAATCCTCAAAATGCCTTCATCTTTTGGCTTCATTTACTTGGTCGAAAGAACATAATGTGTTGCATTTCAGGCATATCTACCTTACAGGACACTTGTTGGGCGGGTGTTGCCGCCTGTATGTTCCTATCGCTCTAAAATCACCGTGTTTTCAAGGTCGACACGTTCTTAGAAATTTGCTCAGTGTCAGATGGCTCGCGTGGCATGTAAATTGTCTTCATAGTTCGCTAAGAATTTGCTGTGAGATGTACAAAAGCTACTGAGGGTTGAGGATAAAAGTGTCCGATAGCTACCTCAGGTAGCGGTCAACAGCTGCAATTGATAGCGCATCGTACATATCTTGGAAACTTTCTGCGTGTGCGACCACAATTGTTGCTGTTGGGATCGGGAAACAAAAGTTTTTTCATGTTGATCCACACCTAGTAAATCCGAAAGATGTTATGTCCAAAATAACGTACGTTATACTGGATCAAATGATTGTTAGCAGACGTGAATGTGATGAGAAATCTGCTAACAAATCAGTTCTAAGTACATGGCCGCACATAATGCGACCGCATGACTGTGAGGAAGATCGCAAGCGATCGATAATTCGTTAAACAATTGAACTTGAGTGAACATTTATCGAGAACGCACTGCACCCCAATTATGCACTGTTTATGAGAGAAATGGCTCACACCTATACGTTGAGGAACATACTGGTACACATCGCTATATTTTCTTTCCTCCAGATGGGAGAACGTGTATGACGTAAATCCAAATAAAAGCACGTTAGAGTCCGTATTCTTACAGATTTTTAAATTTCTATGTATATCCAGAAAGGGAGTTAACGATGATATCAGCGACATAACATACCTTCTAATTTGTATCCAGTTAGAAATACAAGCAGCAGCGCGATCGATGCTCCCAACATATACTGGCAACAAAAGCAGGTGATCGCACCAATATATTGTAAACCTGCTCCCCGAATCGCTCCACTGCACACACCCTGAAAAGATCAAACGTAAGAAAGCATGGTAAAACATTCGGATTTCGCTGTCTAGCTGCTTTTCCCTTCTATACAACTTAAGCAAAAAGTAAAACATCGTCTTTTACATCAGTGAAAAACAATATTTATAATATTAGAAAATTTTACTCATAACATTAAATGAAACAGTTGGGGCTGCCCGAAAAATGCATCATTATACACAAAGCCTTGCTACTCTATGTCAAAAGAGTTGTCTTAATTTTACTAATTTAGCTAGTTAATGCACCATCTATCATGGCCGGAAATTTAAAAGAATAGTTTTTCTAGGATACATAGTTAAAATTGTACCATTCACTTATTTTATGCTGCGTACGGAAAAAGTTTCGACATATCTACGTAGTGGAAAAACAGAATAGATCGGACCCATACGGAAGCAGATGTTAAGAAACAATTTTGAAGTTAATATCAAATGAATAAGTGCAGTAGTCAGTGCATTGTATTATCGAGCAAAATCCGATTACGCAATTTGTTGCCACTCTAAACTGAAATTGTCACAGAAAGCCCAAGTGCTATTTCTGCAACTGCGATTCAGTTATGCACTGGACTCCAAGATTTTATTAACAGTAACACCAATTGCCCATAAAATAATGTAAAGTTTGTCTATTGGAAGCCCTGGAAAAATGATGCAGTATTACGTTTTTATTTAGATGTACCGTGGGACGAGATCACCAGTCTTAGCACTACATACCTTGGCTCATCCATGAAATTGTGAAGATTTCTCCCGCATGTTTGACTGCGATTAATCAGTAATGAAAATTTGCGTGTCGAAATGTTAATGGCCGATACTTTCAAGTACCCGCATAAGAAACCATTTAGATATCAGTTTGATAACGGGGAATTTCATTAGCAATATCTGGTTCTCTACAAACTAGCCAATGAAGGTCAACGCGGATGCGAAATTAATGACATCACTACCACTGAGGAGAAAGACCAACGCACCGATGTTCCATCAAAAATTTGGAAGGCGGCGATGATGGGAAGCAAATGGGCGACCAAATTGGAAACCTCACTACAACAAATAAAAAATGGATTACATAGTGTGATGGCAGCTTAATGTTGTAAAGGTTAAAATAACAACATGTATCAAGACACTGAACGACATGGCTGAAACATAACCTGTCTGAGGTGAAAGCATTTGGTATTTGCCATCTCAGTAAGATCACGCCCGTGGCGAACATCGCGGTTAGGAACCCTGAAACATGTTAGTTGAGTAAACTGGATGACTTACAAGCCGTTACCAATGCGACGGATAGAACCGATTTCGGACCTATGGCAACGCCGGCACCAAGGTACTGGCCAACACGAACATTTGTGGCCATTCCAAAACCCATTGGTACCTGTGTAATAAAGAAGATACAAGTAAACCCTGAAATATAACGGGTTAAGATGGATGTACCGATAGTACATTAAAAGAGTTATTTTTGCACCTGTCCGCTTAGATTCAATGAACTAGTAATTTATTTGGTTATTTATTGCTAAACTTATGTGGCACATTGATGTTTATTAAAGCATTGGAAGTTTTGCTTTAAACAGGTCGGTTAACCCCCATGCTGTGTCGTTATTTACATGAAGTTTCCACTTATCAAGTTAGATAAGAATAAGAAAATGTAAACTGCCGTCAAATTTATAAAGAAATTTACAATTTTACTCGTAAACTCAGTATGATATAGTTTATCCAAAGGTCCCTTGAATTTTTACCTCTGAATCTGTATTAAACACTTGCGTTAACCTGTAGAAGCTTCTATGGATCTGATTTGCTTCTAGTGATATCCATTATCGCAAAACTCGGTCCAACAGGGACAAAGGGTTTATTATACAAATCATGCTCAGCAACATTGACAGCCTGACAAGCATTTAATAACCTCTATACAAATATCGATGTCATTTCCATAACTAACGAAGCAACTGCACTCATGCGATTCTTTCTTTGAATCAGTTTAACAAACCCACTCCAGCGAACCAATCAGCGTGTAGAAGAAACATGCGCAGACGGCCAATAAAATATTTCGTTCGCTAGCCGCACTCTAGCCGCATGCTTGCACAATAATATCACATCCTGCTCTTCTCGGTTTCAGCTGCAGCTGTGTCGCAGAATACTTCGTATGCTCTTCCACTCTGCGTCTACTTTGCTGCCACTGCCGTTGTGCCCTCACCGTATGGTGGCAAGTATTTTGCTGCAGATGCATTTTCTCGGTACTGGTGTCGCGCCAGTTTTACTCGGTTCCTTCTGATTTCCTTCCCACTGGTAGTGACTTCATAAGATCATTTTTCAAACTTTGCGAGCACCACAGATTTCTTCCATGGTTTGCTTACACCTGGTATTGTTTGGATCCACACTTTATCATTTACTAATAGCTCCGGTAGCGCCTGGGTCCCGCGGTCATAATACCGTTTCTGATCTGTGATCTTTTTCTTAAGTCCCTTGCAGTTGCTTATGCAATGGTATAAGATGTCAGTAGACGCAGGTATTAGGATTCTTGTCCCTCTTCTGTATCAACGTTGCACTGTACTGCGACCGTTGTTCGATAAGTGCGTATTGCGGGTCCTCATGAGTGGCTGTGGCTTTTGACAACACCCATTTGGCTTGTTCGACCGTTGCCTCGGAGTCAGAGTGATACGGTCTGGTTTATCGATGCAAAATTCCACTTGTTAGCAAAAGTCTGAAACGCAGCACTTGCAATTTTCGAGCCATTGGGGGAGATCAATTTTTCCTGAATTCCGTGTCTATCGAACTGATATCTAAGCTTGTCGATGACTGCTTCTGTGATGGTAGTCGTGAGTGGATCGATCTCAAAATAGTCATTGCAATAGTCCACAGTTTTTACATAGTATTTCCTTTGGCACAGAAGTTCACCGTCACTTTCTGTCATGGTAGAACTGGAATCTCACGAAAGATGTTTGATTCCCTGGATTAGAGGTCTTTGTGGGACCGGCTGACTGAACAGCATGATACATCGTCCCGGAGTTGGTTTGTCATCCCGGGCCAGAACATCAGTTCGCAGGCTCTACTGATACTGCAGTTAATACACATATAGGATCGAGAAGCGTGTTCCAGCATTACTTTGAGTAGTGGCGGTGGGGTCAAAATGCGAATTTTAAACAGCAAAACGTCCTACACAAGTCATTCATCCCGAAGGTTAAAGAACAGCGTTATTGCTTTCGGAAGTTTAGCCTTTGTATCCGGCCATTACCTCAAAATCATGTCGCTCAAGTCCATGTACCTCGCTTCTGCCTCCGTATGACGTTTTCTCTCAATTAGACCATCTGTCCTTACCGTCAGATGTTGTTTGAGATTGACTGCCTTGAATTCTTCTTTTTGGTGTTTGACTATGGTTAGGTAAGCTCTCGACAGAGCGACCGCGATGAGCATCTGCGTCTCCCGTTTTCGCCATGAAGCGATTCCACAAGATGCTTTATGGCAAGCATTTTACCCTCCTGACTGCTCATAAGCCATTGCTGTCGATATTCGGCTCAAAGAAAGGAACTCACCGTTTTACCGCGAATGGGTTACAAACTTAGGCGACTATGCTGTTAACGTCCAATTTCAGTATACTGCATCGACCTAAGCAACAAATCGGTCAAGCGGATGCCCTATCTCGTTTCATCTATTCGCACCCAAACGAGAAGTATGATTGTGTGCTCGCATTCATCAAGTTCCAACTAGAAGTCTAGCGAATCCTAACCGATAATATAAGCTCACCAGTGAAAACTGACACTATTTGCGTGGAGACTTCCCTATAGAGAACCCTAAAGAAAGTGATACATTTCGTGCAAACAGGTTGGTCAAATTTGGTATCTCTGCTGACTTGCGGTCGTGGTTCAACCAACTTGTATCACTGTCCGTTGTAGACAATTGTTTGAAGTTTGAAGACCGGATCTTGGTACCAAATAAATTGAACAGGCAAGTCTTATAGCATTTTCCTCCGGTCATCGAGGTACCTAACCGTATGAATGCCTTGGCACAGAGTTTTTTTATTGGTCCGGAAACGATCCAGAATTTGAACAACTTTGCCAAAAATGTGAATCCTATCAATTGGAGGCAAAGGCTCTTCCCAAATGCCCCTCGGCAAACTTTGACTAAAGCAAAGAAGCCATGGCAGGGAATCCACAGGTTATGCAGGACCAATCGCCAGTCAACAGTATCTTGTTTTGGTGGACTCTTTCTACAAGTGGCCTGATATGATCCCTATGCAAATTACAACTGTCCAGTACACGATCAACGAGCTGATAAAGCTGTCCAACAATTTCGGCCTGCCAGAGATGATAATGACAGAAACGGTACACAATTCACTTCAAGTTCCTTTGGCGAGTAGCGCAAACAGAAACGAATTCTGCAGTTATTATCATTGTCGTATCATCCGCAATCAAATCACGAACGGTTCGTGGATGCCTGCAAACGCGTGCTTTGTAACGCGGGACAATACAAGGTTGCAATGGACGCGAATCAGCCTTTCCTGTGCATGTACCGCAATACGCAGAACCCAAAAGCCCCAGATGGAATAGCCACTGCCGAAAGTGGATTTGGACGAAAGATCCGGACATTGTTCGGAAACCTTGTACCGAACAGAAACGGAAAACATTGTAGTTGTCCAGTATAAAAATACATGACCGACATGCTCCGTCATTGCAAAATTGGTAACATGGTATTCTCGCGAGACTTCCAAGGACCAAGGAAGTGGTCAACAGGAAGAGTGATCAGCAGACAGGACAGAGGCATTTCCTAGCTAATGATAAGAAATGAGAAATAGGTCAGACAAGCTAATCAGCTGAGGCCGAATTACGAAAAGACTTGAAGTTTCTCGGAACCACCATCTTTACCGTGGGACATTCTGCTAGACACCGTTGGTTTGGCACAGGAGGCTGAGCGGCAACATGGTTCACAACGGGACCTGCAAACATCAGGTGATATATTGGCAGGCAGACAAGAAAGCGGAGACGACCAAAATGGATACAGTTTGATCCCAAAGTGAAATCCAATGAACGAAGTCGAGGTTGAGCTGTACGCTGGCATCCTCAATTCGAAAGGAGTTTATAGAGACGTGAGCAGAGCACGTAGGTGGTCTGCTACATGCAATGGTCATAAGCACAGACGTAGGACGACCTTTGGCATTTCCACTAAATTCGGGCATCGAGTGCGAATTGATCGGCCAGCAACTACTATCCTGCGTCAAAGGAATCAAACTATTCCGTCAATATGATAAGCTCTGGGGCGGAATTTACTAACACTGGCTGAAAAGTAGACGCAGAAGAGTGCGTGACCATGGCCTCCGAAATTTATATGTTGCGTTTACCAAAAAATAGATTTTATCTATGCTGTGAACACTCTCTCTGTCTACTGAGTTCTGAGCTTTTGTATTCCTCCTGTTGGCTTGGCGCCTGATTGAGCAGACAGAAAGTCGCATTCTTACAGGGCAGCAAGGCAGCGGTACAATACCGGAGTATACAGTAGATCTATGTCGTATTTTAAGAGCCCGATAAGCACCCGTTGCAGATGTCGAGGGACAGTAAGTAACGGCTTACTGTCTATTGACATGGGCAGTTTATTGTCAGGATACACTGTAGTCTTCCTTCCAAAGTTGTAGCCGTTGAATTGCTCCATTGCGTAGACGACAACAAGCATCTCTTTTTCGATCTGCGCATAGCGCAGCGCCCGACTGCGGTAATCCAAGGATTTACCATCCTGCAGGAGAACGGCACCTATGCCAGTTTGGCTGATGACCACTGCACCTCCAGTGGTAAAGCTGAAAAATAGTAAACAAATATTGCAGCACAGTTAATAAAACTGTTGATGTTTGTAAAGGCTAACTCTTGCACTTCTCTCCAATCCCACGGTACACCATTGTGAGTCAGTCTCCGGATAGCCGTCATGCATGCTTCTTGTCTTGGAAAGAACCGGCTCAAATAATTCATTATGTCATTTAAACTCCTAACAGCCTTGATATCCTTAGATTAAGGCATCTCCTGCACCAACTTAATGTTTCCTGGGATCGATCTTTATTTCCTTGGATGCCAGCGTGTGCACGTGAAAAATTACCTTCCGTTTCCGGCGCTCAAATTTCTTGCGTGCGAGCTTTATTTTCTTTAGCACTCATCGCTACAAAAAGTTGCGCAGCTTGGCGTCATGTTCCTGTTTGGCTAATCTGTAAATCATACATGGTCTGATACACATGTTACACATTCTAGGTCTTCAACAACTTGCAGTAACCTCTTTTGGAAAGGTTTGCTCAAAACATCCAAACCAATTGGTAAAGGTTGCCAATGAAAAGGTCCGAAGGGTGTGGCAACCGTCGTCAGGAAACTGGATTCCTCATGTAAGACCACGTAAAGGAACGCCGATGAGAGCTCAAATTTTGTGAAGTATATGGCGTTAGCCAAACTCGGCAGAACTTGTTCTAATGTTGGTAGTGTATCGTGTTCTCTATGTAAAATTCCTTCATAGGCTTAGGATCTATGCACAGAACCAAATCATCGTTCTTGATCGTAACAATCGCGACTTGGCAAACACAGGCTGTCGACGCGTCGACATTAGCAATTAGGCCCAATTGCATTAACTTACCTAATTCGGTTGCGAACTTATCACTTAAAGCAAAAAACCCTTTTGCTAGCAGCGCAATCGGTCGTATTATCGTATCTGTTGACAAAGGAACGGTACCTTCGAACCTTTCCAAACCTGGGTTACACACGGACGGATACTGTCAATTAAAATGTGCTTATGCTTCACATGCATAAACGAAACGGTTATGGTTAAAATAAATAAAGCTGAAACATTGGATGGAATCAACGCCGAGAGTCGGCGTGATCTCTTCCTCCACGACCACCAAATCCAACTGATGTGAAGAGCGCTCTTTGGAATTGATCCATTTGATTGTGGCCAAACATTTCGGCTGGAACTAGGAACTGTTCCAAATAAGCAGGACTCCTTGACCAGGTCGCACACGAATTCCTGGGCAGCGCTTCGCTGGAATTTTGTTTATGGTGGCACCCGAGTCCAACTGAAATGCAAATCACGTCACCAACCAATAAACTTGCACAGACGCACATCTTTGGTTCTGTCCTTGATACGTTGCTGAGTAAATGTTCAGTGTCGAATGGCTTTATGTCATGGTTGCATGCATTCACTTTCGAACACTGACAACATCGAGCGAAATGATTCCGTCTGCCGCATCTGGTGCAACTTCGGCCCCGCGCCGATCATTGCTCGAATGTCGCGCGGTACAGAATTTGCAAGTACCTTGTGTCTCGATAATAGGCTTCGCAGTTTTGTCAGCCAAACTGGATACGTCAAATAACTCTGCTTCAGTCGAAAAATACATTTGCTCGATGTGGTGTACAGCTGATGATTCACTGTGGCATATATCAAGATATTTTCTGCGCGATAATTGCCCTTGTCGCAACTGCCGATTTGTGTAGTTTTCAGCATTGATCCTCAGCACGATTCTATCTCGTATGAGACTGTCAGCCATACAATGGCAAAAAGCAGGGGAATGAGCCATAACCTTAATCTTCGTAACACAGTTCTCGACAGATGCTTCTGGGCGCCGGCTTCTGGTAAATTAGCGATGCTGCTAAGACTTCTCGTTTCCAAATCAGCTGCGTCTTCGTCCTTTTGTGCTGCATCGTTTCCAATACGCGGCTTACTTTATATCCGATCTTATGTCTAATCATAGCCAATCGGTTGTTTATTCAGCCACACCAGTACAGAACAGTCGATCCACTTGCTTTCCAGATCCTCCAATGGTTGGCCAGATTCTGTTTTTCCATGTTTAGTGGAGCAGGGTCTGCATAACCGTTCACACCCCAGGCAGCGACTGCGCATTATTGTGTGATCTTGGCTTGGTTTTCTCTGACACCACGTCGTAGAACTCGGTTTACTCTGCAAAACATGGTCAGCAAAATTAACAGCCTGACAAGCTTGTAGGAACCTGGGTACAAATACATAAGTCATTTCCATAACTAACGACGCAGCTGCACTCATGAAATCCTTTCCCTGAATCAGTTAAACAAACCCGCTCCAGTGAACCAATCAGCGCGTAGACGAAATATACGCAGGCGGCCAATAAACTATTCCGTTCGCTTGCCGCACGCTGGCTACACGCTTTCACAATCCTATCATATCTACCCGTTCACTAACCAATATAATTTATTCTAGCAAACAGTCCACTTTTAGAATTATGATGTCAGCTTTTTTGTCTGAAATTTGCAAGTGTTCCTGTAGAGTATCACGATATGCGAGGCATGCATCGATGGATGACAACAGTATGCATACCAAGCGTTTTCCTTCGGCAATTTAACTTGGTATAAATATAGGAGCAAATGAGTAAGCCACAAAACGGATTCCGGCATACTATACGGATGCTAACTTGATTCACGGAAAGTTAAGCACACGTTACGGACATCAACGTAATCCACACGGTTTGGATTACAATTCAGAGGCTGTTTTTTATTTGTTTGCATTGTCTGGTGTAAAAAACAGAAACAGAAATTCAGCACAACGATGTTTGATAAACTAAAACTTATGAACATCTTAAACTGCTTGCAATGGATCATAGGGTGTGCACGCAAATATATTAAACTAGTGAGTTGGTACTTACTAACATATAAAGCATTGTCTCAGTGTTGAATAGAATTGTCTGTGCGGATAATTGCGTCTGACTAATGGTTCCTGGAAAAGGAGGTGAAGCAAAGTTAATTGGCGGTTCTTTAAATGGCAGAGCAACGCTTACATCAGGAGAAGTGGTCAAGTGAGTGGCTGCAGTGTCAAACCATGAATTCAGTCGCTTAAGGTTCATATTTAAAGTAACCAGGCCTAAACTTTTCCCATTCTGCAGGCATCCATACCATGTTATACATAAGACAATTGCCATCACTGAATTCCCATAGATTTTATTTCCTCAAGATTTACTTTCAGAATCCTGCATGTAACAAAGCCAAACAAGTATCGTGAAAACTAATGGAACCGCTTTATCCTATTTGTACTTGCCACTAAGACACATCTGCCAATCCCATGAGGAACAGAACGCATGAACTCTGGACACTAGCAGCTTGCGCTAGTAATCTATCGTTTGACTCCCCTGAACCTGTTGCTTTTCCTAGGTCTGTCTCTAATCATGGGCATGCGCTTTGTCTAATCTGCAGTCGTAGATTACATCTTAAACAATAACCACAACATGGTCATGTTTACTTTATTCCGCTATATGCCCCATTTTAACCGTTCAACCAAGAATATTATATCGCCTCGTAACTTTCTAAATTATTTTTGATTTGCTGTCCTTCTGGTTCTTTCAAATGGGATCAATTCTGTTTTGCGTCAGACCTGCAATTGATGCTTGTGTTTTTATAACTTCATCGCGCCATCTTTAAGATCCTCTTTCTTTCGGGTGAGAAAGTACTCACTGAAAAACGGCAACCTAACTCATCTCCACCCGTTTAGTCAAATATTGAATCAGCTCTTTAAACAATTTTTAAAAAATAAGTGAGCTGTTAGCTTTCGGCAGCAAGAAATGAACATTCAACTCCACTTGAACTGTCACAAAAGTAAATAGACGATATTACTGTGCGCTCAGTGACCACAAGGGATGTCCGTAGCTGGTCAAGTAGATGAAGTATGTAGAGGAAAACTCTGTAAATATCATCTTTTCACTATGGACTAAGGCTACATAAACCATCCTTCTTACACCACGCAGGCCATCAAGCATCATTTCTACCCATTTTACAAAGACGTTAAAGAACACATTGGGATGACCTTCATCATCCTCCCTGTCGAGTATAAAATCTACACGGTACAAATCAACAACTGTAGCATACTATAGTTTAATTTATCCAACAGTTCCCCTACTATGATTATCCCGATAATTCAGCACCCGCCCTCTTTAGAATCATTGCAGCGGTCGTTTACCAAACGGCTCCTGGGGTTCTCCACCACAGTTATACATGAACTGCTCTCAAACACATCACTTTGTTTTGATCTGGCAGGGCAGAATTAATCTACCCTGATTCTTTGATACCAGTAGAAACAGAGACCAATTCTCTACTTTAGGCATGCAAAAAAAGAAATGGCAGAAACGTCTGCTAGCTATGGCTTTGGGTTAGCACTTGTGGCAGGGATCAGACAAAAGATGTTTGCAGATCTTACTGAATATCTATGGCACATGATGGAATGGTGATACTAACAGATACAAAAAATTGAATCCACCGAGAAATTCTGTATTGTCTTTCATTTAAATTCGACCGTAAGAAAAGCGATAGAATTATGTAGAACACCACAGAAAAACTAGTCATATTGTGAAGTCGGGTCAATGTTACTGGAAGCGGCAATAGGTCTAACTTTTTTAAAAGTTTCTTTCAGCAGGTGGAAAAAGTCTAACTTGCATCTGCTATTTGGTGCGGAATCGTCTACACTAAAATGCCACGGTCTAATTTAGCTAACTATGTACACAAAGTTTTTAAAATTATACCCACGTCCACATTGATTTGCTACTGGTTTTCTGCTACTTTTGATCCAAAATCAACGGTAACAATACTCGACAGATATGATGGCACGGATCGCCACGTAAATCCCTTTAAGCTGGCCAAACCGCAACGTCAATCTCAGTGAACAATGAACAATGATTTATCACGGGTACAAAAGCATGTGATTGACCAGACTTGTAAAATGGATGGAGTAAAAATTTAAATTTGAAAGATCATAGTATAAGTAAATCGTTATTTCAAGCCTCTATCGAGTTAAATGCACTACTGCGTAATGATAGTTGTAAGTGCGAATGAGATGTGCACGCACGAAATAGTACAGCGCTGTTAAACTTCAGTAAGTGCTTGGGAAATAACAAAGGAATCGACAAAGCTCAATCGTTTGTTTCTTCAATTGACAGATGTGATAGGCTAATCCAATTTATCTACATCTAGGCTAATCACATGGACACTACTGTACGTTTCCTCACAGCCACGTTGTGGAGAGGACCTTTAAGTACATGGTTAGGTTTACGCTATTTCGTCCTCCAAGTGGAACGGACTAGATAAATTAATGCATGTTTGAAAGCGTTTCATCAAGTCGTTTTTTGAAAAGCGGTAATGTAGGGGCAAGCATAATGTGTGTCGGAAGGGCATTCCAAGCACGAGGCACACGGAGGGAGAAATCTTTGCTTCGAGAATCAAGTCAACTGTAGTGCGTAGGCACTTTGAGCTGATGACTTCTCAGGTTGGTATTTCGGCTCAGCTAAAAGCTTGCGACATGGGTGAGTTGGGTTCGTCAATATTAAGTAAACCAGGATTTGGTCTCCTCGCTGATGTCGATAGTCACCACCGTACAATCTCAGGGACTGCATTCTGTGTTGGTAGTAGAGATAAAACAATCCTCTAACGAGTTTGGTCGCTCTACATTGCGGAGCTTCAAGTGCATCGACGTCGCGCCTGCGTCAGTGACACCAGGCTTGGATTGAATATTCCATATGAAACCTCAATATGTGTTCAGCATTTGCGGAAAGATTGATGGCTCAAAATTGCCAAAAGCCTTTCTTAAGAATCCAAGATGTTGACCGGCTTTTTTTGATGCCTCTTCAGCCTTTCTTGAGCCACCAAGGCCTTAATGTACGATCACCCCGAGGTCCTTTTCATGGGAATCACGCTTTTACCTTTGGTCCCCTTTCAGTATTCATAGATAAGCTGATGGCGTATGCTTACTAGTTTGAACTTGGTCAGGTTGAACTGGAGCCGGTTGATGGATGATCATGCATATGCCCTGTGGAGATTATTCTGCAATGCCATGTGATCAGCCGACGTCTTGATATCATGACAAATTTTGATATCATCTGCAAGTAGCAAGAAAGTCGACTGCAATACACTGCCAAGCTCTTTAATGAATGTGAATAATAAACGTGGCCCCAGTACCGATCCTTGAGGCACACCACACTGGAAGTCAATTGGGTCGGAAATGGAGCTGTGGACTCTCACATTCTGCTGAATTTTAGTGAGGAACTTGCTGGTCCAACCGAGTACAGGGTCACCGATTCCATAACTTCAAAGCCTATGCAGGAGAATGCTGTGGTCCAAACGATCGAACGCTTTCGATAAGTCCAGGCAGACAACGTCGACTCCAAATCTGGCATCAGCTGACTCTGTCCAGCTTGCTCGGGCTAGCAGCAAGTTTGTAGTGCCGGATTGATTTCGGCGGAATCGGTGTTGCTGTGACACTAGGATGTTGTTGCTCTTAAGATATCCCATGAGCGCCTCTGAAATCATACGTTCCATTAATGAGAATAAAACGGGGAGCAGAGTGATTGGACGGTAGTTCCAGGGCTACGAACGATTACTACTTTTGTAAATAGGAGTGACTGGTCCATGTTTCCACATTGTCGGAACCTGCATTTCGTCGAGACAAGGTTGATTGAACCGAGCTAATAGTTGGGCAAGGTTCATAGCTACTGTCTTAAAGGATTTTGGATTGATGTCGTCCCCCTAAGGTGAGCTGTGTATGCGCAACAACATTAGCGTTTTCATCATACTTACTGCTGGGAAGGATAGGTGGTTTAACCATGGTGTCGACGGAAGCTGTGTAAAACGAGGATGAAATGATGGTTTACTCTGAAAAGTACGGATGAAGTGTTGGAGAAGCATCTTGGCTGCGTCTTGTGCGGTTTGTGCAAGACCAACTTTTGCACTTAATACCGAGACCCCGCGCTGCTCTCTGCGGAGCTCGTTGACGTGTGTATACAGCAACTTTGAATTTGTACTGAATTTTGACGCTAAGATCTCTTGGTGCTGAGATTTGTCTTGACAGACAAACTTGACACAGTTGTTTCGTTGAGTTGTGTAAGCACCCCAGGTCAGGTTATTTGGTCAGACTTTGTAAGCGCGTCTGGCTGAATCCCAAATGGCCATGCATTTTCTAATACGGCTCCTTAGGAACGAATTCACTTGCTTCGGGCGAAGGGCTCTCCTGACTGACGCATTTGTCACTAGTTCGGTGCATTGTATGACAAACACCATCCAAGCGACATCGGACGGGTTCTCGGCCAGGAAGGACCAGTCGGTTTCTTGAACGAAGTTGGACAGTTTATCGTAATGTGTAACGACATTGGTTTCAAAGTTGTTCTCACTGATGTACTCCGAGTAATAGATGTAACGTAAGAGCAACTTCTCATGATCGTTACGACCAAGTGGTACATCTGTGGTCACGGTGTCAACCATTAGTTCCGGGTTGGAGAGCACCGAGTTCAAAAGCAGAGGGTGTGTCACCCGTCGGAATCGCGTGGGCGAGGTGACATGGATGTACATAGGTACATCGTCGAGCGCCTCCTGCAAATCCGCTTTGAACTGTTCGCATTGCGATGCTGGAATTTCGATTGCGTGCAGGTTGAAGTCCCCCGCCAGAAATACGTGACTGCATGTTCAAACCAGGACCCGTTTCATCGCAAAAGCTATGCATTGATCCATTTCCAAGGTGGACATTGGAGGGCGGTAATCTATTGCTAGTAAACATACACCACCACCTCTTAGGTGCATACGACACAAAAGAGCGTCGCCGACTTGCGTTTCTGAGTCCTCAATGACATCAACATGCAGGTCAGATCGATAATATAGGATAAATCCCATTTCCTCTGCTAGGTCGATCGTTTCGTATGGAATTCATGCCGGGTAGTGCAAGTTCAGCATCCGTTATCTCCGTGTTCAGCCATGTTTCGGTGACCAAAAATAGGTCCCAAGCCGTGGAGACCAGATGAATATGAAGTTCAGTTAGCGTGCTGGAAAGACTTTGTGCATTGGTATGCAAGCAGGTGAGGGCATCGGTGGTCAG